GGTGAATACTCAGCTGTAGGCTTGCTGGGTCCTATGGTAAGTACATGTTTAACTTTACAAGAAACTGCCAAACTGTGTCCCAGAGTGGTTGTGCCATTGTGCATTCCATCAGCAATGAGTGGGAGCCGCTGTTGCTCCATATCTTTGCCAGCACTTGGTATTCCTAGCATTTTAGATATTTGCCATTCTAATAGGTTGTAGTAGTATCTCATTGTTTTAATTTGCATTTCTCTAATGAAAAATGATGTTGAGCATTTTTCCATATGTTTACTTGCCATCTGTACATCATCTTTGGTGTGGTGCCAATGCAGGTCTTTTGTCTATTTAAAAAATTGGTTTGCTTTCTTTTTGAGTTTTGAGGGTTCTTCATATATTCTGAATACAAGTCCTTTATCAGAAGTGTGATTTGCAAATATTTCCTATCAGTCTGTGGCTTGTCTTTTCATTTTCTTAACAGTGTCATTCACAGAACAAGTTTTTAATTATGATAACGTCCAATTTATCAACTTTTTCCTTTATGAATCATGCTTCTGACCCCATATCTAAAAACACTTTGCCTAACCCAAGGTCATGCACGTTTTCTTCTAGAGGTTTATAGTCTTACATTTTACATTTAGGTCTATGACCCATTTTGAGTGAACTTCCGTAGAAGGTGTGAGGTGTGGGCTGAGGTTCTATTTTTGCCTGTGGGTGACCAATTGTTCCCACATCCTTGTTGACAAGATGATCCTTCCTCCGCTGGATTCCCTTTCACGTTTGTCAAACATTGGGTGACGTGTGTGGCTCTCCTTCTGGGCTCTCTGTTCTGTTCCACTGATTGATGTGTCTATCCTTTGCCAATAGTACAGCACCTTCACAGCTGTTTTACAGAAGGTCTTGAAATCGGGGAGTGTGAGTCTTCCCATTTTGTTCTTCTCTCCCCAAACTGCTTTGGTAATTCTAGTTCACTTGCCTTCCCACATAATCTTAGAATCAACTTGTCAATGTTCAACACCATGGAGTTTTTCAATCCATGAACACGCATGTTACACCTTTCTGAAACCTCTTTCACTGTGTTTTCGTTTTCAGCATACGGACCCTGCACATACGTTGTTAGAGTTAAATCAAGTATTTCACTTTTTTAGGCTATTATAATCAGTGTTTAAAATTTTTTCAGACCCAGACTGTTGAATTAGTTTTCAATTAGAAATGATTAAAAATATTTTTTTCTTGTATCCTGCAAGCTTAGTTAAGCTCACTAGTCCAGGAGGTTTTTTGTGGATTCTTTAGGATTTTGGCATCTGCAAACAGGTATTTGTATTTCTTCCTTCCTAATTTCTGCATTTAGTGTCTTCCTGCCTTAGCACTATCATTATTAAAATTACGTAAGGATACAAATACACATTTCAAAATCTAAAACCATTTTGAGAATATTTAACGGAAAATGAAAAATAGTAAAGTAGTCCTAATAGTTCAATATCTGACCTTCCACGGATTTTTAAGAACCTACCTGACCTCTGACAGTCAGTACAACCACAGCCAGTGTCTCCACAGTTGGTAAGTAGTTTAGTTTATCATGAACACAGAACTATGTACCAGTGACTGAGTCTACAGCTACGAGTCTGAGATGCCTCGGGAGCACGTGGGCAAGCTTGGCTGACCATGGTCACCTTACCAGTCCTGACCCCTGCATCTCAGCTCAGGGGGCTTTTCATAAGAGGCCATAGACCACTCAGGACAAATAAAGTCATCTGTAGAGTCAGGAGAGGGATAAATACATAAAGACAGGACGAACTCCCTATCATACTGGCAGCACCCAGAAAATTAGAAATGACTGTACTCATCACAATCAAAGTTTAATAACCCAAAGCAGAATCTGACCTTCAAAAGAGGAATACCAAATATTATTGTTACAAATACATCACTCTCTGAAGGGATGAAAATCATATGGATTTAGGAGGAAGGAGGAAATGTTGCCTCTCTGTTGAACTGACTTGCCCAGTGGTCACTGAACAGACACTGTGTCCCAGCAGGTGTTGGCTGATCTTGTTAGAGCAGGCTGTCAAATAAGTATCAAAACAGGGTATTTTATGTCAAAGTGTAGCACTCTCCTCTGTTTTGCAAGGGATGTGCTCTCTGCTTCCCTTGATTATCTTTGAAGGTATTTTATAAAGTTACTGTGACCTGAGATTTCTGCTCAGAACTCGTCAGAACTCCTAGATAAATTATTCATTGGACACTTACTTATATTCCAATTTGAGGCTTATTTTATGCTGCTGCCCTATGCTCTTGTTTAACTATTATTTAATTTATCCTGAACTTACATTTTCTTTTCCTGACTAAATGCAGGCTTATTGAGACCAGGACCCACCAGCCCCAGCACAGCACCCTCCACAGACCTGCCAACACTGATGGAGCCAGATGGGCTACACCACCGCCCAGTGCCCGGCTATCAAAGGTACTGGATAGCAGAGCAAAGTGTAATGTTCAGAAAACTTGGCCAACGTTCAGAAGCAATATACAGCTTCAAAATATTTCTCTGGCTTCAATAAGAAAAAAACTCTCAATTTTTATCAAGGTAAGTGGTTCAGTACCTCAGTGCTACTTTGTTTTCAAAGGACTTGAAGTATACCAGATTTTTAAAGATGTATATACTGGCCCAGTGGCGTAGTGGTTAAGTTCGCACACTCTGCTTCAGCGGCCCAGGGTTCACGGGTTCAGATCCCAGGCGTGGACCTACACATGGCTCATGGAGCCAGCCATGGCCATGTCTCACATAAAATAGAAGAGGACTGGCACAGATGTTAGCTCAGCAACAATCTTCCTCAAGCGAAAAGAGGAAGATTGGCAACGGATGTTAGCTCAGGCCAATCTTTCTCACACACACACGCACACAAATACACACACACACACAAAAATACACACACACACCATGAAGACAAACAGTACAGATTTTGGATGTTGCAGAAAAAGATCCTAGAGAAAATAAGTGACTGAACTCTTGTCAAAATAATTTAGGAATGGGGTCCTGACTTTAGGATACTGACACATTCTGAACTGTTGACCACCTTGCCAAAACTGGGAAGGTAGTACCCTTAACGTGATCCAGCTTAATCAGAATCGCACATGGTTTCCTGACATCCCCTCATGTTGAATGTATCAGCTAATGGCATGGAATTGACCGACTCATGCCTATAGTCAGAGATGAGCTGGCTAGTCAAGGCAAAAACCTGTGACCTGTAAATGTATACACTGTACTTGGAGTAACTCAGAAACCCATAAGAAAGATGCTGTGGGTACACTCTAAATCCTTAACAATGGTGAAAACATGTGTCCTGCCAGTGGTCAAGTCTGCATTTGCACTCAGTCCTCCTGATAATTCCTCCCACCTTGACCACCTGGCAGCAACAACCGGGCTGTCCTGCAGTGACCTTAATGCAACTTAGATACCAAGATCCCGACGGCCTCCAATTTTAGGGTCACTCATCTCGTTTCCTACTCTTACAGGAAAAGCTGTCTCCCCTTCCATTTGGGAGGCAGTATTGAAGCCAACATTTCTGGAGTCTCTGGAAATAAGGAAACACACGATCCACCAAAATTATAATTATTTGCAATAGCTTCCTGTAGTTTTTGGATCTTCAATCCTATTCTGCTTTACTGAAGGATAATGGTTTTACCATTTTAGGATATTAAACCAAAGAGTTTTCCTCTACTTATAATATTCACAGTGATGTTAGCGTCATGACAACAATGCTTGAGATATATATATGTCTTATTATCAAATCAAATACTATCAAATATAAGGCTTGGTATTTTATTCTACTTTACACTATATTAGTGAGCTAGCCTTACTTTTGTTTTGATTATAAAAGTAATACGGACATTTTGTATTTTTTTCAAGGAACTTTAAAATCTTAATTCCATCAGATCCTTACAGCACCAAGAAATCCAAAGATCTAAGTGGCTCCAGCACCACTCTGACTGGTTAGTGGTCAGCTGGGCTCACGTCTGGCTGCTTAACGCCTCATCTAATTCTTTCTCATTACACCATACTGCCATAGCTTTAAACGTCTGAGTTGATAATTTCAGGTTATCAACTGTAAACCCAAATTTAATATGGGGTTAGTGGGTTTTGTTCTCAGCGTTGGTTCAGGAAAAGCCAGCCTTTCGGAAGATTCCAAAGCCGCCACAATTTGTATTTGGGGAGTTAAGTGGGTCTTCCACCCCATGCAGCCTGTTTTCTATGCTATAAACATACACTTTCATAAAAAATGTGATAAACTCAAAACTTCATTCAGATATATTTTAGTCTTAACAGAGCCTAGTTTTAGGCCGAGTGAGTGAATCTTTTGCATAACTTCAGGGAAGCATAGTTTTCTGGGTGGACTTTCTTCCCAGTAGCGTTACTGCAACAACAGCATCTGGGTCTCAGGGGCAGAAACACACTGTTGATAGTTTTCAGATATAGTTCTGAAATCCATAAGTAGAGAGACTGGGCACGCACAGGAAGTTCCTAGTCAAGGCTCCTGGTTTTCTAACTGTGGATGCTGCACCATGCAGCACACAGGCAGGAAGAGGGTCCTGTTGCAACACAGCCATGCTGGCCAGGTCCAGCCACAGCCAATAAGCATCCTTTACACAGAAATAGGACAGGAGCTCCTATCAGCACTGGGTGTGCTCAGGAGTCTATCTGCTAAATTCACAAAAGTTCCACAAATGGTTTACAGCACCCTTTAATATTACAATTTTATGCATGATATCAGAGCTTTATTGCAAACATTTAAGAAAACAATTAGTTTCCCTGGTACGTTTTCCCCTTTTGAAATTTAACTCAAAAGGAAAATGCCAAAAATAACTAGTAGAAATGAAAAAGTTATCTGGAAGGACAGAGAACAGATTATTTCAAACCTGCTTGGAAACTGCCTCACGACTGACTGGCACATTTCTCATAGCAAATCTTCTCATAAAATGCCAGGAGGGTTTGCTAGTGGCTGGAAAGGCAGCCTAGCCTCAGAGCGTACCTTGGTGAGGTCCTTGTAGAGCTCTGGGTAGAGCATGGCCATCTCGGGCTTCACATCCTGGTCCAGCACTAAAGAGAACACGGGGAACATGGTGTATATGGTTGCATATCTGGAACCGAGAGGAGAGTCACGTCAGGGCGAAGCTCACGCAACACCACGAAGACCTTTGCAATCGGAGGCCAGAGGCTCAAAACTGAATACAACAAAAGTAAGCGGGCAGCCAAGTACACTTTTTCCTAAAATTTAACACTGACCTCATAGCACAATCATGTGGTCTATAAGCCACAAATGCCCACAGGTAGCGGAACCTATTTTTTTTTCTTTTTAAATTAAACTTTTCATTTGAGATCATTATGGACCTGCATATAGTTACCAGAAACAACAAAAAGAGACCCCGAGTGCCCTTTGCCCAGCCTCCCCAATGGCAGCATCTTGCAAAACTGTAGCCCAATCCCCCAGCCAGGGTGCTGGCTCTGACCCAGTCCAGACACAGGGCATCCACCGCCCCAGGGCCTCTGGATGCTGCTCCCCTCTCGCCCCTAGAGCCTCCACCACCCCAGGGCCTCCGGATACCGCTCCCTTCCAGCCCCTAGAGCCTCCACTGCCCCAGGGCCTCTAGACGCCCACTCCCCTCCTGCCCCTCCTTAGCCCTGGTCACACTCATCTGTCCTTCATCTATAAGTCTGTCATTTCAAGGTTATCTGCACACAGCACAGAGGAGATGGCATTTGGGGGTTGGCTTTTCCCCTTAGCCTGATTCCCTGGAGAGTCACCCAGGTGTTGCTATACCAACAGTTCCCTCCTTTTGATGGCTGAGTAGTATCCGTGGTTGTGGATGAACCAGTCTCTGTACCCCAGTCATTCACTGAAGCACATCTGGGTTAGTCCCAGTTTCTAGTTATTACAAATAAAACTACTATAAACAGTCACTGCACAAATTTTTTTTTGTGAAAGTAAGTTTTCATTCATTTTGGACAGAAATGCCATATGGGATCATATGCCCAGAAGTGTAATTTCTGGGTCACATGGTAGTGGTATATTTAGTGTTTTAAAGAAACTACCAAAATGTTTTCCAGAGTGGCTGCACCATTTCACATTCCCACCAGCAATGTAGGAGATCCAGTTTCTCTGAATTCTCACTATAATTCGGTATTATCACAGATTTTTTAGCCATTCTGAGAGGTATGTAGCGGTATCTCCTCATGGGTTAAACTTGCATTCCCTGATGGTCAGTGATGGTGAACATCTTTTCATATGCCTTGGCCATCTCTATCTTCTCTTGGGCGAAGTGTCTGCTCATGTCTGTCATCCGTTTTCTAGTTAAACTGCTCTTGCTGTTGCGTGCTGAGTTCTTCACATATTGCTGGACATGTGGCTTGCAGCTATTTCCCTCTGGTTCCTGGAAGAACTCCTTCCTGGATGGAGCCGTGTGCCGTCCTTTCCGGCAGCACTGGAGACGGGGGTGCTGTTCCTTCTGGCCTGTACTCTGATGAGGAACCTGCTGCCACTGGAACTGTTCTGCCCACAGGGAGGGTACCTTCTCTGTCACTGCTTTCAAGGTGTTTATCTTTAGTTTTCCTAAGTTTGACTGTGATGTGTCTTGGTGTGGATTTCTTTGAATTTATCCTATTGGGGGTTTGGTGACCTTCCTGAATTCCAGTGAGGTGTAATTTCAGTGTGCAGTGTAGCAAGTTTGGACAGTGTTTACAGTCCTATAACTTCCTGCATGGTCACAATACAGAGCATTTCCATCCCTTGTGACCATCCCGGGTCAACACCGCACACTGCCCAGCCCAGGACAGGCAACGGAGAATCTACCCACGGCACTATAGGGCAGATGTGCTTCCCCAAGTGTCACATGGATGGGATCAGACAGCACCAACTCCCTGTGTCTAGCTGCTTTCCTGGGCACAAAGGCCTCGAGCCTTACCCAGCATGGTGTGTGTCGTCTGCCCTCCTCTGCTGCTGTGTGGATTGAAGGCAATGTGTTCCCCTGTCCGTCAGCTGACGGGTGGGTTGTCCCATCTTGGGTACCACAAAGACAGCAGGGCATGTCCACGTACCAGTCCTTGTGTGGACTCGTGTTGGCTCACGTGGAAGCGTGTGATTAATCTTACAAAAACGGCCAGGCTGTGTTCTGGAGTAGGCTCGCTCTTTTGCATTCCTTCCAGCAACATGCTCCACATTCCTGGCGATTGGTACCATCAGCCTTCTTAATGTGGCCTGTGTAGCGGTATCTCACCGTGGGTTAAATTTACACTTCCTATAACTGATGATGTTAAATAGATTTGTGTGCTTATTGGCCATTCTTAAATCTTCTTTTGTAATATATGTTCAAACCATTAGTCTTTTTAAAAAAATAGAGCTGTGTGAAGACCATGAACTATTCCGGATACAAACCTCCTGTCTGATAGGGGTTCTGAAACCGGTTTCTCCCAGTCTGCGTTTTTATCTGATTCATGTAGTCTTTAGAAGAGCGAAGACTTTTAATTCTGATACAGTCCATTCTGTCAGCTTTTCAATGGTTCATGCTTTTGAACCTAAGATATTTGCCTATGGAAGGGTTCCAGGATTTCCAGCTGTTACTCCTGGAAGTTCAGCAGCCACTTCCCCTCTGTCGGGCACTGGTCCCTGCTGCCCACTGTACACTGTTGGAAAACAGGCTTTCAAGTGTTTTATCCTGTCTTCCAGCTGGTAGAGCTTCGAAGACAAGCCCCAAACCCTAGTGATGCGCCTGCAAAGCTCAATGTCTCTCAAGGACACGTGTGCAGTGGAGAATTTCTCTCAGTGCCAACCCTCTCCTGGGTGCCCGATTGGGACAACATCCAGCATCTCACAGCACTCCCAGGCTCTCTCCGTGGGTCCCAGTGAGGCCATGAAGTGATCCCACTCTTCCCGCCGCCCCTGGGGTTGGGGACGTCAGGTGCACTCAGGCTCTTTCCAAGGAGTGCCTTTGGAGGGGAGCGCACTCCCAGGGCCTGTGGGGGGTGCCCGTGCAGGCTGCGCGTGGGCAGTGGGTCGAGGGGGAGCACCCACGCCTGCCACCACAGAGCCAGCCCGAACCTCACGCCTGTCAGGCCTCACAGAGGAATCAACCAACAGTCCAGGTGGGCCTCCCCTGGGTCCCCGTTCCCAGACAGAGACAATGGAGTGAATAAAGATAAAAACCACGAACTAGGTGAAACTGAATTCTGTCAACTGTCTTGTAGCTTCTAGAGCCAGTTTTTTGATCAGAGGAGAATATTAATTTAGTCAGCTTAGATTCTATTTGATAAAAACAACACATTGCTTCCTGCACAACTCTTTCTATTTGTGTTCCAGCTGAGGGCAAAACTGATTTTATCACTTATTTTTGAAGAAGCTTAACCTGAAAACATCTCCCTTCCATTCCTACCAAATTTGGGGCAGTCACGCTTAAGAAAACTATAGATGCCTCATTCACGTGAGGGACACGCAGAGAAACTTTCAATAAACGCAATAAACAGCAGCTTTAAAAACAGTTGGGGCTGGTGCTGACGAGGGGAAGGATCAGGACAGGCAGGCCCAACACGGTCCTTCCGGGATCACCCCGTCCCTTAACTCTTCCTAATGTTTCAGAGCCATCATTTTTAAAATGCGAAAGAAAGTGAGAATGGTTATACTTTTCTTTGGCCTCCAAGAAGAAACGCACTGTACCAATTCAAGACATAATGAGCATCACTGCGCAAATTCTCGCTCCTTACAGTAATTCTGTAAGAATCACTGCCGGGGAAACGTAAAACCAGCCGCGGCTCACCTCGAGCACGCCCCCCGCCTCTGAAGCTGAGGCCCTGAGCAGCGGGCCTGGACTCGGCGCACAGCCGCCCCACCCGGCGGACTGCTGGGCACGCGGTCACTCACGCGGAAACGCCCGCCGGCCCAGGGCGGCCCGCGCCCGCGGAGGCTCTCCCCGCTGCGGGCCCGGCTCGGTCCCTCACAGCCTCCCTCGCGAGCGCAGGACCGGCTCCCAGCCGAGGGCGCGGAGGGCGGTGACGCCGCGGCCGACGCTGCTCACCTCGCGCAGGAGTTGAGGTGGCAGCAGCCTGCTGTGCGGAGGACGCGCTACTGTTTTCCTCACGACTGATCTACTTACAGACCGGAGGCGGCCGGGCCAGGCGAGGCGGGCGGAGAGGACCTCCAGCCCAGAGAGAGCCCGGCTGGCGGGCTCGGAGCGCGCCGCCCACTCGGACGCCGCTCACGTCCGGAGCCGAGCTCCCAGCTCCCCCCGCGCAGCCCCGCGCCCACAGCACAGGCCCGGCAGGCTCCCGCACTCGCCGCCCGCGCTCCTCCCACAGGCGGCCCGGCTGTGCGCGCCCCGCCCCGCCGCCGCCCCTCAGCCCCAGGTGCCCGCCTCAGCCCCCCGCCGCCCGCCTCAGCCCCCGCCGCCCGCCACAGCCCCGCGCCGTCCCCCTCAGCCCCGCGCCGCCCGCCTCAGCCCCGCGCCGCCCGCCTCAGCCCCGCGCCGTCCCCCTCAGCCCCGCGCCGTCCCCCTCAGCCCCACGCTCGCCCCTCAGCCCCGCGCCGCCCCCCCCAGCCCCGCGCCCCCCGCCTCAGCCCCGCGCCGTCCCCCCCAGCCCCGCGCCCCCCCCCTCACCCCCACGCTCGCCCCTCAGCCCCGCGCCGTCCCCCTCAGCCCCGCGCCGTCCCCCTCAGCCCCGCGCCGTCCCCCTCAGCCCCACGCTCGCCCCTCAGCCCCGCGCCGCCCGCCTCAGCCCCGCGCCGTCCCCTCAGCCCCGCGCCGCCCGCCTCAGCCCCGCGCCGTCCCCCTCAGCCCCGCGCCGCCCGCCTCAGCCCCCCGCCCTCCCCTCAGCCCCGCGCCGTCCCCCTCAGCCCCGCGCCGCCCCCCTCAGCCCCCCCCCCCCCCCCCCCCCCCCCCCCCCCCCCTCAGCCCCGCGCCGCCCGCCTCAGCCCCGCGCTCGCCCCTCAGCCCCGCGCTCGCCCCTCAGCCCGCGGCGCCACCTCCCCACCCCCCCAGCCGTCGCCCGCGGCAAAGCTCAGCCTGACTCCAGGAAGACTCCCCGAGTTCCAGATCGCCCCCCGCCCCGCGCTCCCAGGGGCCCCCGGGCCCAGCCACAGCTCTGCCTATGACATCCGCTCTGTGGGAGTCACACTCGCTGTCGGCTGGCTGTCTGGCTGTCCGCACAGAGCTCCTGGTCCGCAGGAGGGCCAGGGCCTGCCGAGCCTGGGCGCGGGAACTTCCCAGGAGAGGCCGGTCTAGACGGAGGGAGGCGGGAGAGGGAGGCGGCAGGGAAGGGCCCAGGGAGGGAACACCAGGTGCGAAGGCCCAGAGGGAGATCTGGACCTGGGAGAGCGCAGGCAGCAGGCCAGCCGTCAGCCCAGGCCCCGCGGGAGCCTCAGCCGGGGCAGGAAGTGGCCGCCCTCCGGTCTAACGGAGCCTGAGCCGGGCAGCCCCACGCTCCCTGCCTCTGGCCTGGGACTCAGGGAGCTGTGAGAGCAAATGCATCCCTAACAGCGCTCTTCCGACAGGCTGAAATAAGTCACCTTTGCTCTCCGCTGACCTGAGCTAAGTGCCGCAGGAGGAGGGCCTGGGAGGGGCAGCCGCGGCCGTCTCCACCTTGTCCCGCTCCTCCTGCGAGCTGGGGGCCTCACTCACGCTCCGGCTCCGGCTCCCGGGTCTCCTTCCTCACCGGACGGACGGGACGAGCGCTCGGAGCAGTGACTGCCGACGCCATGGCTATCTGACCGCCTCCCACCGCGCCGGGAGGAGCCCCGGCCGGCGGCTCTGAAGTGGGGCGTCAGGGGAGAAGCTGTTTACCTGGCCACCGCCCCAGCAGGCACCCTGACTTGACCTCCCGTGTAACTGCAGAGGGCGAGGACCGGGACTCCAGCTGACTCGCTTTAGCAGTAAATGCCTGCTTGGTGATTTGGCGGCGCAGTGAGCACGGCTCTCTGGGGACCGCATGCTCGCAGCACCCTGGGAAGCTCTCCCCTGAGCCGCCCGGCAGGTCTCCAAGGACCAGGCCCCACGACCAGCAGGGAGACTCTCTGAGTCTCCTGGAATCTGTTCGGTCCCATCCCAACACGTCTGTTCTCGTGTGTCTCTGCTGCTCATGGGGCACGGCGCCATGGGGGTTAGCCGTGTTCCAGTGGGAGAGGAGCAGGCTTCCGGAAGCAGCCTCCTCGAGCCCGGCCAGCTCACCCACCTCATTATGCCACGGGACGCTTTAAAAATCTTGGACCAACACAGGTCCTGACTCAAACTGTGGCTTCCCCAAGAAAACAGAAAACCTAATGAGAAAACTTAGCATGGACAGCTTTGTCTTCAAGTTCCCCCAAGCAACACATGAGTTTCTTGCATCAGCATTATTCACTCTGAATGCTGACTGCGGAAGGAAATACTCAGACGAGATTCTAGACAGGTGTCTTTCGGATTAAAAGCTCTCCCCACGCTGCCGCTGAGCAGTTCACTTACCCGACCATGAGGAAGCCCTGGTACAGAGGGACAGACGCGAAGTAGAAGACGGAGGAGAAGACGGCCTTCAAGAGAGAGAGCAGCGGTTAGTCCTGTGGCTTCGTCTCCACGCAGGCTCCTTGGGCCGTATGCCAACACCCAATATGACATGACTACGTCAAGTGAACAGAGGGTCCCGAGCTCTCCCCAGGGCCCGCCCTCTACGGCAGATGGAGTGAGGGCCGTGGTACCTGCATCGTGGAGATGATGAGGCCCCTGTGCATGACGAATTGGCCGAGCGCTGCAGACCTCTTGTAGCTGCTCCGCCCGTGCACCATCAGCAGCCGGCCAATGTGCTTGAACTGCGTGATGGAGAAGTCTGCTGCCAGCGAGGCCTGCTTCCCCTCCTGAAAAGGAGCCCCGTGCCTGCTGAGAGCCACCTTCCAGAAGCGGCTGTTAGAGCTCCACCTCAACGGGAGGAAGACTAAAGTCCCTGTTCAACCTTGAAGGGGACAGCCTACCAGGCACACCGACAGCCACAGGGACTGCTGAGGTGAGGGGCAGCGAGAACCCACACGGGTGTGGGGCACGTGCCCACAGGCAGCTGGCTTTATGGAGCTGCTCACCAGGACTCTGGAAGAATTCGCCTACAGCAGCCTGCTGGTATCAGAGAAATTAAGAGAGTGGCAGAATGTGACACCAGCTGGAGACGGGCCTGTGATGCTGGGCATCTTCAAGACAATTCTCTACCCCTTACTTATCTCATAGTTAAGAAAACAACCCCCCTGATTTTTCACAAAGCTGCTGAGGGCTGAGTGAGGCAGCTGATGAGAAGCACTTCACGTGCTATAAATGATAGTGACAGTCAGGCACCCGGGAGTAAAGCAGCCAAGGGAAAGAGCTGGGCTGAAACCAGGCTCACTTCCGGATCTTTCTGGGCATGTTTTTATATGGGCACGGAAGACAAACCTCAAACAAGAGCTCACCGTTGGCAGGAGACACAGACGCCCAAACATGACACCATGTGTAAAACACGAGGGAGAAGCCGGAGGGGCTGTGGGTGGCCACCAGAGGTTTGCCGAGGACTTGGTGACATCTGAGCTGAGCCTCATGGGGAGGGGACTATGGGTTTCAGGGTCCTGCACGCCACTTGAAGAGCAGCGAGGACACCGCAGGTCTCGGCACTGACGTGCTGTTTCCCACCTGCGTTTCACGAAGGGCATCACAGAGTGACTGGGGCATGTCCCAAGCGTGCAGCTCGGAGAGTGCTAGAGAGCGGGCTCTCAAGGACGTGCTAACTGAGTGCAAGCAAGAGATGACCGCGACAAGAGGACAATGTACCTTCCCTTCAATCCCGATCCCACAGTCTGCTGCCTGGATCATGCTCACATCGTTTCCTCCGTCGCCTGAGAAGCACGAGAAGTTGTGAAATGAAATAAAACACCTGGACGTGACCCTGTTTTTCTTTTACCAGTAGAGGCTGTTTTAAAAGGTCTTCTAATAAAGATGAAGTAATTCTGGCGTTAGAGACTGAACACGATTGTGCCTTCAAATCTCAGGACTTCAGTTTTCTTTTTCTTTTTTTTTGAGGAAGATTAGCCTTGAGCTAACTACTGCCAGTCCTACTCTTTTTTGCTGAGGAAGCCTGGCCCTGAGCTAACATCCGTGCCCATCTTCCTCTACTTTCTATGTGGGACGCCTACCACAGCATGGCGTACCAAGTGGTGTCATGTCCACACCCAGGATCCGAACCGGTGAACCCCGGGTCGCCAAGAAGCAGAATGTGCAAACTTAACCGCTGTACCACTGGGCTGGCCCCAGGATTTCGGTTTTCTTAAAGCTCGCCAGTTAACAGGGCGAAGCCACCTTCCACCACCTCGGCGGCCCTGGCACACACAGGACATGGCGGGGTGCTCACCGATGGCGCATGTGCGCTTCCCGGTGCGCTGCTGCAGCAGCTTCACAATGCGGGCCTTTTGGGTGGGCGAACAGCGGCAGCACACCACAGCGGGGCACTGGCAGGCCAGCTCCGCAAGCTCGTGCTCGTAGTACCGCAGGCAGACCTGGAAGACAATGTACTGCGTGACCGCCTGGTCATCAGCTGAAGCTCCCACGGCTGCAGGAGAGTCCCACGGCCCCTCCAAGTGTGCCACGTGGGTCCTTTTTGGGTCTCTTTCCCCAGGGGACGGCCACCCTGCCAGCTGGGGATTCAGTAGTGATGGACAGGTATACAGAGGAGGCAGGGGTGAGGCGGGAGGAGAGGCCAGCATCCAGGGCCTCTGCAGGACAGAGCATGGTGGCTGCACAGCTGCAAGGCCATGTGGAGGGGCAGCAGTGGCGGTCAGGGGCCAGGCGGGTCTGGGAGTGGGGACTCTGCATCTCATTGTGAGCATCACTGTAGGCCAGGGGTTTGCACAGGGGACTGACGAGGCGCCCCCTCACTGATGTGACCCAGATGATGGAGGATCGCTCCATGGAGCTCTCCTGACTAGTCTGTCTTCGTTCAGATGACCTCAGCCCCCTTTTCCCAGCACTTGGCTAAAAAGGGCTTTGTCTGATCTTTAATATAAAACACTCTTAGTATCAACCCTTAATTCCCCATCTTGGTGGGGAAAATAATCCCCAAAAGCTACCTGAAGGCTGGGGGTCCCCTCACTGTGCTGGATATTCTGAAAGTGACCTCACCACGAAGGGTAGGCTGTCAGAGATCCAGGTTCTGAGACCTGCAGCATCACTACCATCAACAGTTCCATGTAGGGGACTGTGTGTGTTGTCCCCCATGTCTGTGGCGGCTTGGGAAACTGCTGATGACCGCGTGTGTGCATGTGTGTGATGTGTGAATGTGTGAGAATGTGAGTGTATGTGTGTGTGGGTATGTGTGTGAGTGCATGTATGTGCATGTGTGCATGTGTGTGTGAGAGTGTGTGGGCTACAGATATGGAGTCTGAGGTCACATGTGTATTCCTTTCTCTTTTCCTCTTGTTCTCTGGTGGCAAAGAAGCTCAAGGCCATGTCTGCAGACCCCATTGGGGCCACACAGCCTAATTCTTGCAGAGCGTCTTTATGCTGACTTGACCTTATTTTTCACTCTTTATTTTCCCTTTGCTCTTTCTCATTCACATAATTTAAGACTGATGTGATACTCTGTTTTTTTGCTAGCCATCTCAACCTTTTTTGGAATATGTCAGAATATAAGAAAACAAAATAAATGGGATGTCATATTAAAGAGAAAGTCACTGGTCCTCAGCTGCAGCTTCTCCCATAAAACATTCATAATGAAAGTCAATTAACAAACTTTGTTAAAAAGACAAGAACATGGTCTACATCTGCAAGCTCTAGTTTAGATCCATAAGCTATACATCATCTGATCAATTACAATACAGTCAGTTTCTACACAGCAGACAAGTGCACATTTCTGCCTTCCACCCAGCCAGGAACCTACCTAATGCATGGAACGTGAGGGATGTACATGCACAGCATGGTTCGGGTTGGAGGAGAGTCACCAACACACACGAGATCTCAGCCAACCTCCAGAAGATGAGAAGTGCATGGAGGCAGGTGGACAGATGATGCACACGAGGAGGAAGGAGCAGGTGGACAGATACACTAGGAGGGAGGAGCTGGTGGACAGATGCACACGAGCAGAGAGGAGCATATGGACAGATGCACAAGGAGGGAGGAACGGTGGACAGATGCACAAGGAGGGAGGAGCAGGTGGACAGATGCACAAGGAGGGCGGAGCAGGTGGACAGACGCACACCAGGAGGGAGGAGCAGGTGGACAGATGCACAAGGAGGGAGGAGCTGGTGGACAGATGCACAAGGAGGGCGGAGCTGGTGGACAGACGCACACCAGGAGGGAGGAGCAGGTGGACAGATGCACAAGGAGGGAGGAGCTGGTGGACAGACGCACACGAGGAGAAACCACCTCTGTGGGTGCCCCCTGTGAACAGTTGAGACCAGGTCTGATGCACTCTGCCCACTTAAAACCTGGGATGGCTGGCTAAATCCTGCTTATGGCAGGTACTTGATAGATATCGCCTAAAGTTGGCAGATTTAGAAATAGAGACACAGCATATTATCTCGTTTCACGGAAACCTCGATACCAGGAGACCAAGAAACAGAAATAGTACAAGATGTTGCTTTTTGGGAGAAGGTCTGGGAGGCAGGGGAGTGAATGTGTTCTCCAACATCAGGTTTCTCTGCTCTTGACTGCCTACCACATATGTGTATTTTTGGTGACACAAAAATAACAAAAAGATTTCATAAAAGATGGTGGATTTAATACAAGTAGTTACTTTTGCTCCTTTCCCCAATCCCATTAAAACAACTGTAGAAATAAGTCTTTTTTTCCTTTAAAGTTCGGCACCTGAGCTAACAACTGTTGCCAATCTTTTTTTTTTTTCCCCTGCTTTTTCTCCCCAAATCCCCCCAGTACATAGTTGCATATTTTAGTTGTGGGTCCTTCTAGTTGTGGCACGTGGGATGAGTGGTGCCATGTCCATGCCCAGGATCTGAATCGGTGAAACCCCAGGCTGCCGAAGTGGAGCACGCAAACTTAACCACTCGGCCATGGGGCTGGCCCCAAGAGAATTTTTTTAAAAAGATATAAATCTACAAGCAGGAGCCAGACGACAGGAGAAATTAGCAAAAGGCTTTGGATGCTGGAAAGCAAACAAACTCATGACAAATGGCTGGGCAGCTGTGAGAAGTCTTCTAGAGCCAGCTGTGAGAGGAGCTGAGAGGCCGCACGAGGCCCAGGTGCTGATGGCAGACCACTTGGAGCTGAGGATGGAGAGGCGCCAGGACTCGGACCAGGCAGACACGTCCCTAATCCCTCCCTCTCCAAATGAGGCCGCTTGGGCAGCTGTGCCCTCCTGCTCTGGCAAAGACCGGGGCTTGTCCTCAGGAGAGGGTGAACCTTAACAAGGAGGGCAGGAGGGAAAGGGAAGAGATGGAAACCAGGAAAGAAAAGATAAAGGGATTATGGCCTCAGGTCCGGAGGCCCAAGATCCGTCTTACAGGCACTCCAGGAAGCGAGAAGGGGAAAATCAGAAGTGAGGAAGCCGTTCATCATTTCTTCCCAGAGAACCAACAGATACAAGTCAACGGAAACACACCAGACCCAGCACATTAATGAGAAGTGTGATAAGAGTGGGGGTCCTGCAAACTTTCAGAAAGGGGGGACCCCAACAAGCCTCAGAGGGAGGGCTTGGAATTGAAGGGCTCCTCCTGGCTCCCCAGCAGTTGTGCTGGGTGGCAGGTGGCAAGAGGATATGGGAAACCCTCCTGGCTCAGAATTCCATCCCAGGCAAACTGGCCGTCAGGTACGAGGGTAGGATACAGACCTTCCCTTCCCATGAAAGGCCTCAAAAGTTGATCTCTGTGGCTGCTTTCCAGGAAGCTAGAGGAGGAGGTGCTCTCCAAGAAGGAGGAGTCCAATGATGACAGCAGAGGCAGTGGGACATGGGGACCCTGCGGATGAGACAGCAGTGCACGGTGCACCCCTCAAGAGCCCAAGAAGGACTTCTCCAAGAAGGAAAACTGAATTAGTGATAAGTACAAGGACGAGCAAGAGAAAAAAGACACTCATTAGCTCGGGGACAAAGAGACGAGCAGGAACAAGGGCTGTGGCAGCAGCCGCAGGCTCAGCTCTCCTGGTGCCATAGCCCCTGAGACGCTGACTGCCAAGACAGGCCACCCGGAATCTGTGTCGGCCATGCTGGGAGGGCACGAGGAATGAGAAACAACCCTCGACTTGCAGGGCAGAAACTAAATAAAATGAGCCAAAACTCAAAATCAAACAGGAGTTATGCAAAGGCTGTTATTTAGACAGTTGGAAACAAAGGCCAAAATAGGAGGCCAAAAGCAGCATCAGGGTGTTGGGAAAGAAGGGGGAGCGGGAGAGCAGCACAGAACAGATGCGCCCACATAAGCCTGACAGGAACAGCATGCTCACAGCGTGCACCACGGCACTGCCATGAGAATGGAGACCAGGTGGAAACCACGGGCTGTCTCATGGAGACAGTGGGGAGAGGATGGAGCTCCCTCCAAGACCAGGGGGCCAGGGAGGTCTGCCGGGAGGCGAAGACGGGTGGGGGTGTTGCACTGCTGGGGTGGGGGGCTGCTGTTTGACCCCCACTGTCCAGGCTCCGCAGTTCAGTCTCTTCTTGAAGCAGCTCACTTGACTCACAAGGGAGTGAGGCGATGATGGAAGCCTGGGGGACATTCTGTATGATTCCCTGGCCCATGGAAGTTTATCATCTGCTCCAAGAACCCGATGGAACGTGGCATGCCCTGAGCTACCATGTGACCTTCTGGAATGGGCACAGTGGCAGGTTAAAGATGGCACTACTGTCCCTGCTACTTCTCTGGTGAGAGGTGGGCTTGACCCCCTCCCTTGAATCAGGCTGGCCTTAGTGGCCTGCTTGACCAAGAAAATGTGACAAACATGACAAAGGCTTGGTCCTAAGGAACCACACAGCTCCCCCAGACTCCATGACCACTTGCTCTGGGAAGCCAGAGGCATCCACGAAGTCTGAGAGAGCCTGTGCACAAGCTGTGTGGAGAGAGAGGCACCCAGCGGGCCCAGCCATTCTGGCTATCTGGGCCCAGAGGCAGATCTATGAGCAAAATGAGGAAAGACGTGACTTGACCCAGAGAGGACTGGCCAACAGCCAGGCCGCAGGCCCTGGACCAACCCCAGCTGAGTCATCTCGGCTCCTGCATCAGGGCTTCCCACAGTACACGCCAGGGCCTCAGGTCTCACACGTCCTCTGTCCCACGGGGCGCTCTTTTGGAAACACCCGTTTGGATACATTTAGATAAAGACTATGGGTAGCACAGTCAAGACTCCAAGGCAAGATGTGCTATTAACAATGAGCACAAGGCCTAGCACTAAAGAGAACTGTGAATAAGCCTCAATTAAATCAGCCTCTAGAATATTGAGTGTTATCACCCTGACATTGCCATGACATTTCTCCAGGCTGTAACTGCTCACCAGAGTTGCATATTCCACTTCTAGGACGGTAAAAACTTAAAAAATAGTAGAGATAAGCAAAAGCAGCCTAATAAATACATTTGACTCAGAAAGCCCTTAGTCCACCAGCAGGAAAAGCAGACACATGTTTGGTCAGAGACCAGCCTCACCTCCAGGGAGACGGACGGACAGACAGACAGACAGACAGACAGACATGTGCTTGGTCAGAGACCAGGCTCACCTCCAGGGAGAGGCACAAACAGATAGACAGACACGTGTTTGGTTACAGACCAGCCTCACCTTCAGGAAGAGGCACAGACAGACAGACAGACACGTGTTTGGTTACAGACCAGCTTCTCTTCCAGGGAGACGCACAGACAGACAGACAGACAGACAGACACGTGCTTGGTCCGGGCCCAGCCTTACCTCCAGGGAGTCCCCAGATATGACGAGGGCACAGTCATGCTTCCTCCGAAATGCATTCAGCTCCAAATGGGCCTCTCCTCGACTGGTCACCTCCACAGAAGGGAGAAAGCACCCAGATTACAATGTTGCCTAAATCAGAGCACCGACAAACAAGCCCGTATTTACGAATCACAGTGAGATCTTTAGACACATCACCTAAAACCAAAAGCTGCTTGACACACGAAGTCCTACAACAAACTGCTCTTTCAAATTCCTCCTGCACTGCTGGGCACACACACACAGTAATTTACACTGACTGTTTTCCGAGGTGTGGCACCTCAAAGCAGGAAACGTGCGCTGTGACGTGCAGTGAAGGCACCACGATTCCACTGCGAGCGTGACCAGGAGAAGCGGGCCTGTGGCCACAGGGGAGCAGGCTCGGGAGTGATGACGGCCTCTGCACAGCTAGGGAAGATGCGCTTCCCACAGCAGAGTGCGGCAAGCGTCAATTACAGCTCCTGGTCTTTTCACAGGCTGATGGCACGGGGGTGGCTCTAACGCCAGGGACACAGTTCTTCAGAACTCCAACTCAACACCTTAAAACCCAGGGCCCCATGGAGGGAGCTGAGTCCCTCAGGGCCACCCAGTACGGGGCAGGACAGCCCATCTTCATAGCAGGCCCAGTGATGACAATACTTGTACAGACTGCCTCTGCCGTCTCTGCCACGGTTCTCAACTGAGCCTATTCACTCAAGCATACACAATATCGGGGGGTTAGACGACCTGAAGAGCAAAGTTAGGTCATAATCTTGAAATATCATGAATTTTAGAGTGAAAACATTTCAGAAACCAATTTGCTGGTTTTTGACATTCTTTGGAGATTTTATGGGGCATAAAGGAAATGATATATTACAGGACTGAAATAAATTAAAAATTTCATGTCATTCAAATTAATCTCAGAATCATTGTTAAATAGGTAGGTTTTATTGTGGAAATGTTCATTTGTGGTGCTATAGCACTGAAAAGTCAACAAAAATTGATCTGAAGTTTTATCAGAATCATTAATAATTTAATTGCAAATAGTAGTCTGCAGGGCCTAATTTGCGATTCCAATGCTTCCAAATAAACTACATTTACATGTAAATTATATTCAAATAACTATTTCTGTAGGTGCAAGAGCTTCATTTAGAAAAGTCACAGACACACAATGTCTGTTCACCCACCATCAATCAAGAGCCAAGAAACTTTTATTTTTTCTTTGAATTAAATTTAGTCATAACCTAATATATACAGTAAACACATAAATTTAGATAATTTCTATTAATTTTCTTTGAGCTAATTAAGAAGAGCATTTAATCTGAAAATGGCAGTAGATTACAAACACATTCCTATTTTGTATTGAGAGCTTGTTTCACAAAAGCAGCTTCTGGACTATAAGCAATGTGTATAACTAATAGAAAATGTAATTTTTATCAATGCACACCTTTATAAGTTGACTAGTCTATTTTAAAATATCTGGTTGTCAATAAATAATTCCAATAGTACAACAGAAAAATACTTTTGAATTTAGACCTTGCTTCACTATATCAAAAAGTAGCTTTTTGATCACATTTAATGTATATAACTAATAGAAATCTATTTTTAACGTTTTTATAAATTGAATAAGAAATTACATTTCTCTTTTAAAACAGATATTTAGTAATTAATAAAAAATTGCATACACATTCTCCCAAAAACAGTAGGTTTTAGTTGTGAAATAAAACATTTAAAAATCAAAGTGATTTAGAGAAATACTTACAGGTCTGAAAGTGTGGATGTCTTGTGTTCTAGACACCAAATGTGAACTTTTGGCAATGCAAGTGGCTGTCTCAAGTTTATCACCCGTGAGCATCCATATCTAGGAGACAATTTAAACTGGTGAACTTCAATACTACTACACTTTCATCTCCAAAAAGGGTCTATCCTTGAATGGATATTTGCACACCCATGTTTATAATGTCACTACTCATACTAGCCAAAACATGGAAGCAACTCAAGTGTCCATTGAGAAATGAACAGATAAAGAAAATGTGGTCTATACATACAATAGAGTATTATTCAGCCTTAAAAAGGAAAAAAATTCTGACACAAGCTACAACATGGATGACCCTGGAGGACATTATGCTAAATGAAACAATTCAGTTACAAAAAGGCAAGTACGAGTCCACTCACATGACTACTAAGAGTTAGATTTACAGAGACAGAAAGCAGAGCCCGGGGTGCCAGGAGCTGGGGGCAGAGGGAACGGGGAGTTAGTGTTTAAGGGGGACAGAGTTTCAGATTTACAAGATGAAAAAGTTCTGGAGATGGACAGTGTGCTGGTTGTATAACAATGTGTGAATATATTTAACGCCACGGCAGTGTACCCTTAAGAAGGGTTAAGATGCATAAAATTTTGTGTTATGTCCATTTTGCCACAATAAAAAAAGATGCCTCTATGGACTTGCTTCGCTAAAACAAGTAAGAGCAAAGTGGTGTTTGGACTCAGCAGCTGAGCTCTGGAGGCACGTGGGTGACAGGTGGGGTTTGGGAACCGCATGGCTGAGGCTGGCGAGGACCTGCACAAGCCCAAAGGCAGCATTCCCACCGCCCTGATGCCAGACCAGCAGGCATAAAGCAAAAGACACCACACAGCCTTGGGTTTGCAGAGCTGGGGGGCCCTGAGGATCCTCAGGCCTGCTTGTTGGTCTTCCAGCTGGAAACTGAGGTTCAAAATGGGTAAGCAGGCAATCGTTAAGCCAAAAGTTGTTTCTATCAAACAAAACATGTCAAATAATAATAAAAAAATTACACACACATGCACACATTATGTACATAAATGTCCCCAGACTAAAAAGAAAGCAAAATCAGGACACCTACGGTCCTGATTATAACAAGATAGTTTATATATATTTTATATAACAGCAAAAACCTTGCAGTAATTTCTCCTTATCATCTGAATTCTTCAGGTGTCTTACATATCATATATAAATATACATTTTGGAAATAGCAAACAGAAGAGACTTACACAGTACACTGATTCTCTGCTCAGGCGTAATCTACTTGTGGCTCTTTGTGTCTGAGGATTTCGGTTTTTTATTTATTTCACACATTTGAACTTCCTTTACTAGCCTGGACCTAAGATTATGACACATTGTTATGACAAAGTTGGGAACAACTACACAAAAGAACAGGAACTAGGGGGTGGTCCGGTGGTGTAGTGTTTCGGTTGGTGCACTCTACTTCAGTGGCCTGGGGTAGGTGGGTTCGGATCCCAGGCATGGACTCTCACACTGTTCATCAAGCCACGCTGTGGTGGCATCCCACATACAAAGTAGAGGAAGACTGGCATGGATGTTGACTCAGGGACAATCTTCCTGAAGCAAAAAGGGGAAGACTGGCAACAGATGTTAGCTCAGGGCCAATCTTCCTCACCAAACAAACAAACAAACAAACAAACCACCCAAAACAAGAACAAGAACTACCACTGCTGGTAACCTGGCACACATTCAGCAAGTGTGTGTGATCTGGCTGGAAGACTACGTCCATGTTTTGCAGGACTATCTGAAATCAGAGCCTATGTTATGTAAGGAGATAGAGGGTTCTACTTCTTTAGACAGGAAAAACAAAAGAAAAAAGAGCAGAGCTCCAGAAAGTCTTGCAGAGTTTGGCAAAGAATTAGTATAAATACTCAAATCTTCACATGAGAGACATTTACTATTTTAATATGTTGATAATCCAACACATACAATTAAGTAGATTGAGTTGAACTTTATGAAAAATTACAATAAAAGGTAATTTTATTATAATAAGTAAAGGTTGAGATAACATAAACCTTTTGAGTCTGCACTGCTCTGTAACTCTGCACTCCCACCTGCACAGCAATCCTGACACCAGATGCAGCCTCCCAGCGCGCCACCCAGCGCAGGCTGAGCTGACAGGGGCCTCCTGCCCTGGAGCAGACAGCCCCACGGCCACGTCTCACCGCCTGTGCCCTGGAAAGCGCGGCGGCAGCCAGCGTGTAGGCTGCCACAGGAGAAGCTGTGCTGCACAGAGCACCCATCCGAGTTGGGACGGGCACACGAGGGCGGCAGGCAGTGGCTGTGCTGGGAAAGGGCAGGGCGGTGGTTGACCCGGGAGGCCTGGAGCGGAGCACGTGAGGAAGCCAGCTGGGTGGCGGGAGGCAAGGCGTGGGGTCCTGGAGGTCCAGTGGGATGAGAGCGGACGTGAGTGGGGCTCTGCGCACAAGGCCCTCTCATGTCCATGGCCTCATCCCAGGTCAAGGGCAGCACCTCCCGGGAAGCGGCACTGCGCACATCGAGGCAGCCCTGGTTTCAGAGGCCATGCTCCATACCTTGATGCCTGCGTTCCGCAGCATCTCCAGTGTGGGCCTCACATCGGCCTGCAGCTGGTCTTCCACCCCCGTGAGGCACAGCAGCTCCATCTCCCGCTCCAGGCTCTCCACCACTGCGGCCACCTTGAGCGTCCTGTCGTGGACACTCAGCTTGGCCTGACTGTACCGGCTCTGAGGACAGAGACGAGGCTGTGATTTATGCACTCAGGACTTACTGAGGACATGAAAATTGGCAACATTAAAGAAATCATGAGTTTCTGCTTCTGTGGACACTCCTTTCCCAGCAGGCTGGGAAGTGGGTGGTACAGGGGAGGGTGGAAGACTAATTCCCAATGATCCTGGGAGCAAGGCTGCTCTGCTTATGGGCTGTGGTGACACGACCTTGCAACGTCACACAAGCAGTAAGAACTCGTTAATGAGAACACCAGTGCCTTACCAGGGCTGGGATGTCCATGAGGGTGGAGAGACAGGGAGTCTGCTCACCTCGAAATCCTGGTACTGCTCTTCTGTGAGCGCCCTCTTCGCGACCACGAGGGTGCGCAGACCTTCGCGGGCCATGTTTCCACACTGGAAAAGGAAATGCTGCTCACATGTGGCCCCTAGCCCTGAGTATGACAGGGACAGAGGCCCCTATGGTACTCGTCACTACCACTCTCTGTGCTGACGACCATCCCCTGCTAATTTACCCTGCCAATTCCTAAGTCCACCACGTGCAGGCACAAGAGATGAGCCGGAGTGTGGCTGACTGAACCACAGCTCCCTGGCTACCTCCTCCCCTCGCCCTGCCCTCACTGAGGCAGCGGCAGGCACGGGAGGCAACAGCAGAGGGAACCCTGAGAGACCCTCATCTCACAGACACGCCACCAGACTAACCCTGACCCGACAATGTCTCTGCTCTTCCTGAGCTCTGAGGAGGAGCAGCAAAGGGACACAATGGAGGTGGAGTCACTGCACGGCTCTCCAGATGACAGGCATAGGTCTTCTCCACCTCAAATCAGGCTTTTCAAAAACAGCGTCAAAAGCACTTAACTAACACTGCCCTGATCTTGGTGTTGACATCAGGCTGCAGGTGGGAACAAGGGAGGAGGAGATGCTGAGTGGTGGCGGATGGGAGGAGACAAGACTTGGAAGGCAGGAAGGCCCCACGTGGCAGTGTAGTGGATAAGAGGACGTGGAAGGTCACACATGGCAGCGTAGTGGTAAGAGGACGTGGAAGGTCTTATGTGGCAGCTTAGTGGGTAAGAGGACGTGGAAGGTCTCACGTGGCAGCGTAGTGGGCAAGAGGACGTGGAAGGACTCAAGTGGCAGCATAGTGGGCAAGAGGACGTGGAAGGTCTCAAGTGGCAGTGTAGTGGGTAAGAGGATGTGTAAGGTTTCACGTGGCAGTGTAGTGGGTAAGAGGACGTGGAAGGTCTCACGTGTCAGCGTAGTGGGTAAGAGGACGTGGAAGGTCTCAAGTGGCAGTGTAGTGGGTAAGAGGATGTGTAAGGTTTCACGTGGCAATGTAGTGGGTAAGAGGACGTGGAAGGTCTCACGTGTCAGCGTAGTGGGTAAGAGGATGTGTAAGGTTTCACGTGGCAGTGTAGTGGGTAAGAGGACGTGGAAGGTCTCACATGTCAGTGTAGTGGGTAAGATGACGTGGAAGGTCTCACGTGGCAGCATAGTGTAAGAAGATGTGCAAGTTCTCACGTGGCACCGTAGTGGGTAAGAGGAGAGATGGCCCCACGTGGCATGTCGTGGGAAAGAGGAGCTGAAGAGGAGGTGAGAGCTTTGTAAGCAGCACTATGCTTGCTCTCTCTGAATGTTGTCACAGCAGCCACTCCAGCTCAGGTGGGCAGCTCCACCTGTGACTTTTCAGAATTTTGCACGTGTCCCTCTTAGCATCCACAATCTCATTTCAGAGAATGGGTTTTTATGAAAAATAAAATTTAGAAAACAATATGATGGGGGCCGCCTAGTGGCACAGTAGTTGGGTTTGTGCACTCTGCTTTGGCGGCCTGGGGTTTGTAGGTTTGGATCCTGGGTGTGGACCTAGGACTGCTCATCGAGCCACACTGTGGTGGCCCCACATAAAACAGAGGAAGACTGGCACACATGTTAGCTCAGGGACAATCTTCCTCAAGCAGAAAGAGGGAGGGTGGCAACAGATGTTAGCTCAGGGTCAACCTTCCTCATGAAAAGAAAAAAAAAATAAAAAACACTATGATGAAGGCTAAGCTACACCAGGTTTTGAAGCTGTGTCTACACATCAAGAGTACTAGAACCAGCCAAACCTTATCTAGGCCACTCTCGGCTCCTCTAAGAGCTGCTGCTCACAAAGCCCTTCACCTCTTTATAGTGGACTCCCTCTCAAACTTCAAACTTTGAGGAACTATTTCAAATTTTGACAACGTTTTTAAAGCTCCACACACCAGCATGGTTAGACTGTTTTTGGCATGTGTGGCTGATAACATAGAGAACCTTGGAAATTCATGGTCGCTCACGGCCCAGCTGGCTCTCAGCAGGCCTACCGGTCATGAGGGACACATCCTCGGGTGGGGTCCAGCAGAGGTGGAGCTGGACCACAACGTGCTTTGCCACCAACACCAGGGACAGGAAGGGGCTTCCGGAGGTATTTTTAGGAAACATCAACAGGCAGAGGACTCTAAATCATAGCTAGAGAGCAGCCAATGTACATTTAAAAATGTAAAGCTGACAATGTGGTCATGCGTTTAAGCAAATACATCCCAAACAAATTAATCAGCTACTTTTATTTAATGAGAAGAAAATCAAATATTAGTAACTTGGGTCTGCAATGTTACCACAGAATATTCAGAGTTGCACGGCAGGAAGAGGAGGATGGGGTTCCCTAATTAGGGCTGTCTGCAAGCCCTGCTGTGACGTCCTGCATGCGTGCATGGAAGCACAGATGCTAGCTCTGTGGGCAGCCACATGAGCCAGACAGACGGGCAGAGCTATGGCTACTGAGGGGACTGTGACTTCGAGAGTCTGACCTTCTGTGCATTTAGAACCAGAGATGTGACTGGAAATCCCGCATCGCCCAGGGACAAGCACGCACACTGCTTGATAAACAGTCCAGACACAACTTTGCAAGGATGCTCTGCCCTGCCCTGTCATCTTCCATCGTCTCTTCAGGGCAAAAGTGAGTGTTTCCAGACAACTGCATCTTCCTCTAGGTGGGGTATTCATTTCTAAGAAAGCTCATTTACTACACTTGGTGATAAGATGTCAAAATCTGCAGGCAAATACAAAGTATAAACTATTCAGCTTTTTTGAAATTCCTTTCTAATCCATCCAGTTGATGAGATCTGATGCTTACTGTTAAACACACAGGATGTGGACCCAGCAGGAAGTGCTGGCTGAGAGATCTCAGCTTGTGTGCCTCCACCTCAGACACTCTTTGGGACCAGGATTCCCGGGGTAGGTGGGGTGAAGATCACCGTGCCTTCCCCTCCCCAGTTCTAACTCCTTGTTTCATTTATATTTACACATCTGGGGTGGAACAGCAAGTCTGCATTTAGAGGGAAGGAGGCCAACTGTCTCAAGAGCTCTACTGTCCAGGACCTGGTTATTACAAGTCTGTGCATAGTGGACATTCTTACACAGCAGGCTTCATAAAACTTGCCCTTTCTGTTGTATGATGACTAAAAAAGGTTGGTGTTTTCTGTTGTTAACATTTGGAGAACACAAGTTTTAATATTTGGAGAATTCAATTTGGGGAGCTTGCCTGAGACGGAACACCCGACTGTAAACTCAGGCCCTGAGAACCTGCTAGGTTTTCTAGTAAAGTGAAAGGTTTTCAGACTATAATAGTATTACAACAAAGATGTGAGTGGAGGATCAAAAGATTTATCCATGGGAAGAAAATACAATGTTGAGAAGATAAACGATTTTTAATAAAGTTATCTTTGTGTAAAACAATCTGACATTTTCTGTCTGTCGCAAGACATTTATTGATTTGGCCTCATAAAGCTAAATAAATTAAGCAAGTATTTTATAATTAATTGCACATGATTATGACCAAAGTAATTTTTATGGCATTTTACTGTCTTCAGGGAGTCTCATTTATTCATTCCCCTGATTAAATCTAAGTGCCTGAGGAGCTATTGATTCCTAGCGCCAATACCATCATGGACACGGGGTGTGGTCCCCGCACTGAGAGACTGTCTCGGGGCCACGGTGGGAGAGATCACAGGGAAAGGGCTGTGTTTATAGCTGCAATGGCTTAGGTTTCCTTTAAGCCCAACTCTTTATTAACACATAAAACTAAACAACAAATCACATCACCTCATGAGGCTAAATACAAACCCTATTTGTGTAGGGAGGATTTGATGAAGCATAGGGTTGGTTATATTTTTATCTTATTTTCTATTTTTACAATGAATCCTATGTACAAATTAGATTACAATTCTAATTAAAATCTCTTTGTATATAATTTAGGTTAAAATAAATATATTAAATATAGCTTTGGTCACATACACAGTATTATTTCATAATTTTTTAGTGAATGATTAGTAATGCCTTCTATTTTTTCACTAATATAAGTGAAACATTCTTCATAAGAACCTACTTGTATACATCTACATGCATTCACACAAAACCCCAAGATAGGAGCTGTTTATAACAAAAGTAAACTATTTATAATTAAATAACTCCTATCTTCTCTACTTTATGAAACTGACAAGAACTGCAATCATTTAAGATAATGTGGTGGAAAACAATATGATCTGGGCAGCCTACCAATGTCTGCTTTGAAATTTGCTTCTCGATTTATCCCAGTGATACAGGGTCTGCAAGTTGGGGAGAGGATACTGTCTTTCCATCACTGCTTACTGCATCTCATAGAGACATTTCTGCACAACGGTTAGACAGCTCATTACCTCCTCCTCCAGCCAGTCGTTATACTGGACGATGGTGGACATGGCCACATCAGCGCCTTTCATGTAGAATGTGATTTCTGCCGTGGACTCGTCCTGTAACGGAATAAAAATGAACACAGACATGTTCAGGCCACACTGCTCCTCAAAATAGCGGCTGCTCTAATAGAAACGCACCAGAAGAAGAAACTCGCCGTGGATGTGAGAACGCCTTTGTGGTGACCTCCCAAATACTTTCTGTGCAAGTCCACGTCCTCTCTAGATGCTCACGCAATCAAGAACGGAGACCATAACTGTACATTTCCAGACGCTGTGCTGACGTTTGTGAAATAAAATTTGCTAATGGATACATGTCTTGGACTGAAGGTAAACATTAATCCTTTCAAATTTTCATGGTTTGATTGAATAAGCTTCCTTGTTTAGCCAACCTCCAAGATCTATTTTTGGTATTTGCTAAAAAAATTTAATAGGGGTATATTTTAGCACCTTTATGGTCACAAATCATTCTTAGGTAAGTTCTCTACATGCTACCGCTGTTGAAAACAAAACAAAGCAAAATAGCTTTAGCTAGCCTCAAAAATTAATTAATAAATAACACCTTTTACTTCTGCCCTGGTCATCGTAGGAGAGGGAGCCACACTAACGTCTCAGGTAAATTATTAGCTTAGATTTTATTTTAAAGAAACTATAACAAGCACGAAGCATTTGAATGCATACTGGAAAAGAACTGTCTTCCAGCCAGCGTGGCAGGCTCGCAGCAGCCCTGGGGAGCACTGAGCTCATGGGGAAACAAGCTGAGCATGTACCCTGACGATGACGCCCATGCGTTTGCTCTCCGACGTGAAGGGAAACATCTGCAGGACGCAGTAGGTCAGGATCTGGCCCCCGGGCGTCCTCAGCTGCATGGAGGTGAGGTCTCTGTTGACGAGGGTGAGGCCGACGCTCTCCGTCCACTGCACCAGGGCCACCTGGGGGAGATCAGCAACAGGCCAGCAGTCAGAAAGCTCATCAGGACTCGGTCAATTCACAAAACCTCCTGCGCTGAGCACATTTTTGCTTTTGGGGCACTTTTGCATAACGTCTTTGCACATAAACGATACGCAGTAGGACGGAGTCCCCCGGTCGTACCTCCTGAGACAAAGACCATTCCTGATCATACTTTTGTTGCAATTTGTTTACTACCCAGGGTAAAACCTAGATGGAGCCCACACAGCTGGTGCTGCAGGGCTCAGGGCTGGGGCAGGAGCTGAGCTATACCGCCTTCAGGTTCTTTCCACCCGATTCTAGGAACACCCTGCAGGAGTGGGCAATTTGAATCCCTCATGTTTACCTGATCTTTTTCTAAAATCAGAGATTAAACCGCTGACTGATTAACTCCACAGTTAATGTGTCCACACACAATCTTTGAATATTTAAAGGAGGAAAAACAGTGAAGACAAAGGCAGGCCTGGCTTCTAAGCCAACCCCACCAGTTGGTGCTCTGTGACAAGGTCCTTCGTCTCACTGGAGCTCACCTGCCTCTTCTGCCAAGTGGAACATGTCTTTGCAAACTGTTCTAAAGCTGAAATGATTCGAGTAAACACCCCAGCATACGGCAGGCACTCCAGAATAGACGCTATTCTTATTTGTGATTATTTATCATTAAAATGTGAAAAGTCTAAGTGGAAGAATAATTTTTAAAGTTATTAATTTATGAATTTTTTTATAACTGTTTCCCAAAAATAAGTTCAGTTTGCCTTTAAAAGTGACCTCAAGACAAGAAATTCACTAGTTGCAACATGACAGACCCACGCACTGTGCAGTTACGGAGCATCACACAGCAGGAACACACTGTCCGTGACCCGGCACGCTACTAGAGAAGGCGAGAGACTTTGTCCCACAGCCGCCGACACCACCGCACTCCCCACCGGCTCCCCGCGCCTCTGCTGACGCCTTGCCTTCAGCTTCCTTCCCCTCCTAAGCTTTCAGCATTTTACCCAGGCTTTCCAGAAATCAAATCATTCACAAGCATTTCAAATTCGGTCTGGTGTGCAGGAAGTTACTGTTGGATCCTAGTGTCTTCTGAAACTCGCATGAGAGACTGTAATAAAATCCTCGCAGCCCCAGGTTCTGAGGTCAGATTGCTCAGGTCAGAACCTGGGACTGCCACGAGTGAACCACATGCCCTGGGCGAAGGCGGCCCCGGCCCCGGCTTCCTCGTCTACAGAACGGCGAGGACGAGGCTACCTCACAGGGGTACTGTGGGGGCGAAACCACTCGGCAGAATGTTCAGCACATTTAACTATCGACTCAATGTTAGGATTCTATCCTTCATCCTCGCTCAGAGAAGCCATTTAACATGCCCTCTTAGGCAGACCAAGAATCACTTTTAAAATGAGGTTTTCTAAGGAATTTCCCACAAGCCCAACTACAGAGAAATGCCAGTAAGATTTCCAAACGTCTGTGGTTGTGGACCTGTTTGCACTGTTTAATGCTCTGAACCCCACCCGCGCGTGCTTGGGTGGGACGGGACTGTCTAAGGACAAGAAGGTAGAAAAATTACAGTGCAACAACTCCTAGGACCACAGAGGTGCTCTGGGTGTGGGGACGTTCTGGGACACAGTGGGGGTCTGTTTAAAGTCACTGTGCCTGGGGCAGGTGTGCCCTCCCGATGCCGTGCCCACACTGCAGAGGCTGGCGCGCCTCAGGGCGTGTTCTGAAGAACTGTGCCGTGGCCACCACTGAGTCCTTCCAGACGGGGTGACTACTTCCCAGACATTTTTTAAGATCTCATAAAGGAGCTAAATAGACAAGCGGGACTATTGTTTTAGGAGAGTAAAGACACATACTTATTTACATAGTTTTAAATTATAACTTCATTTTATTCTGTATGTAGTCAATGCATCAGAACTCACCTTTTATAAATTTCTGATATTTTAAAAAGTTTACATAGTAGAGGTAGCCTGTGACGAATGGAGCGGAATAATTTCAGAAAAGCAGGATTGAGAGTGAAATTATAATAATGATCCTATATTTTTGGTTACTTCAGTCACAAAGTCAGAAGAACCTTCCCATGAAGAAGGCACAAGGATGAGGGATCAGACCACCTTTCTCCACCTGGCTCCGCATCTGAACACAGAAACAGAAGATGGCTGAGGTGCTGTTTCTGTCTCCTGTTCTAGATAAACAGAGCGAGGTTGGTCCACCGTGTGCAGGATCGCGTGTGAGCACTGGGGCTGTTTCCACTGCTGGAGACCTGAGAGCCTTCATGGAGGCACCTCCAGCAGAGAGAGGGTGATGGCCCTCCAGCTGGTCTCCCCTCACCCCACTGCCTCTGCCTTCCTGGTGGTGTCGTCTGACGGCACTCCTCACATCCCACTGCCCACATCTGTCCGGCAACCCTGTCACTGGACACAATTCGACGGTCTGCTTTCTGAGGTAGGCATGGTTATGTGCAGTGCGCAAACTTTTCCTTGGCCCCAACTTATCATGTAGAAATACAAATTTCATTTAAATTAATAAAATCATCCAGTTAGCCGATTTATAAATTCAGGACTGCAAAATGCTACATATTAGATTCCAATTGTGAGATTTAACTGTACAGAATTATTATCATTTTGCTATGACCACCACCATGAAATGAGCTCTGATATCAAAGAGAAGAGCAGCGTCCACTCTCATTAATGAGCCTGCAGATAAGGTGTTGGCACAGACAGCCTGGGTCGTGGGAGGCCTGCTCTCGGCCTGCAGTGCTGGCGGGAGAACCACACTGGGGGGAAAAGTTCTGACCTGCCGCTGCCCGAGGGGGCAGGTGCACTGAGAGATTAAAGGCGTCCTGACATAGGAAGTCCCTGCTTGGTGCCTAAAACCACAGATCAAATTTGACCATGTGCCCAGCAGGCTGGAGCACTGAATTTAGAGAGAAGACGGAACACACAACAAGAGCAGACAGCAGGCCCGGATTTCTTCTTCCTTGGGCTGCTGGGACCGTGCTCTGAGCACTGCAGCTGGGAGTCTCAGACTGTACCAGGAGGCGGCTGGGGTCCCACCTCCACAAACCCAGAGTTCCTCTCTCCCACATGTGACTCATGCTTCTACCCTCTTTGTGGGAATTAAATGACATGAGAAAATTTTTACTTTTGTCTATTTTAACTATCTCAGTAAGATCTCTGTGCTCCCTTTCTAGAAGATAAATCATACAAATAGTAACAAATTAAATACTCAATGTTTGTCAAATACTGTGAGAAACTGCTGCTAGAAATTCTTTGCTTGCGGTTTTCACATTTTGTTAGAAAACAGTGACAGAGCTGCCCCTGAAGATGCCTCGAGGTGGCTCACAGAGCCAGGACGGTGTGCTGTCCCTTCCCGGTTACAACTGTAACCAAAGACTAACAGGGGTGCAGAGGTCTGTGAGTCCTTCGAGTGGATATCAAACCTGAGGTGGTCTTGGGGACCCCCAACTTGCAGCTGGTGTCTGAAGTGAGCCCTGCACTGACCACGCCCAGAATATGTGTCTATCAACCGCCAGCAAACCCCTCTGCTTTGAGCCTCCCCACCAAGGCCAGGGTGCCAGGTCAGCTCAGGAGGGGGAAATCCTGCCCTGGGCAGAGAAGGAAAAAGTCGTGTGAGAGACACCTGCACGTTACTTGGCATCGCCTTGGGGAAAGAGTAAAGGAAGACAACCTTTGATTAGACTGGGATTTTTCACTGCTTTTTAAAAACAGTTAAAGTATCTCTTATTCTGGAAAGGAGCCCAGTGGCTGAATCAGGGTGACCCAGGAGGCAGCGTCAGAGAAAGCACGCCACACCCTGCAGAACTGAGGGAGGAAAGGAAGTTCCTCCCACATAGCGAAGACTAAGGGGAGATCCAAGTGTTCGCACATCTGGAGGTTCCAATACAGGAGATGGACAGAATACCCTAATCCCTCCGGCGGTGTGGCAGCCAAGGGGCAGAGGCCACAGCGAGGCTGCCCGAGGTGGCGGACGCTCCCTCCGCAGGTGCTGAGAGGAGGGCGATGCTCACTGCGGCCGGCCGGCTGCGCTGTTTGGAGGTGGCATCACCACAGCTGCCTCCCTCCCACGCCTTTCTCAACACCCCCACCCCTCGATGAGCTCCCAAGCAACAGTCAGTGTCTCCATGAGACCAGTGAGTGCTGACGGCTCTGGGGCTGGGTGAACCCCGCCAAAGTCCTGACCCACATGCCCAAAATGGCTTTGTTCTACCCTAAGTCCTGGGTGGTTTGTTTGCAGCAAGAGCAACCTGTCGACATTCCTGCTTCTGGAGCTGTGTGTTAGGCTGGAGGTTAGACGCGATTACGTTTCTGAGGACACTTACCACCCTAGGATCCCATAAGCTGTTAAATGTTAAACAGTGAGTCATCGTGGAGCTCCAATTAGAACTCTCCGGCTTTCCAGCGTTGTTACTAAGATACTGAAGTACACCGAGATTCTAAAATCATGCTACCGATAATACAGTACTATAATTTAGAGCATCAGCAATATGCTGTAAATTATAGTACTAAAAAAGGCATATGGACGTCAAGAGAAACGAGAACACATCTGGGGAGTGAGGCAAATGAACAATGCTGCACCACCACTTCAAACGGAGATGAAAGTGAGACTCTACACGCATTTCTGCTATGAACTCCTCTATAAGCTGCAAATGACCCAGTCCTCCCACAGCTAATTTCCAGTTTACACTGTTACACTTTGACCTGTAGATTGTATCCTTCTGCGAACACTGTCATCTCATGTGTGCCTGCCGCCAGCAGGACTTCGGCGTTCTCTATTTGGTGACTCATATCTGTTTACTGTTTAGTTTAGGCTTTGTTTCACAACCCTTTTGAGGTAGCAGCTTATAACAAAAATCAGTGTCGCTTCTTATACCTACCCAGCATCCCAAACAATTGTTTTTGATCACTAATCATTTTGAGGATTAACCTCTATATGATGCCAACCAGAAGAAAGAGTATTCAACATTTTTAGTCTG